GGGGGGAGCAAGGAGCAGAGGTTGGGGTATGGGTGGGGGGGGGTCTCCTGCCTGGTCTAGGATCTGGTATGCGTGACTGAACAAGAGGAGGAGAAAGAGAGGAAAAAGAAGAAAACAAAACCCCCCACCAAAACCTGCCTTCCTAACTTCTAAAGACAGACAATGGCTACTGACTGGACTGGCAACCCTGTGTGTGTGTGTGTGTGTGTGTGTGTGTGTGTGTGTGTGTGTGTGTGTGTGTGTGTGTGTGTGTGTGTGTGTGTGTGTGTGTGTGTGTGTGTGTGTGTGTGTGTGTCACTTCACACACAGGGCACGTCCTGATGGAAAGCAGAAAGAGGGAAATCTACTCTAACCAACTTTAGATCTCATTACTCCGCACATGCAGCCGTACAGACGCAGCTCTGCCATATGTGAAATAAAAAAACTGCAAAAATAAATAAATCGAACACCCAAAACTTGACATATTAACCATGAAATCTTTGAGACTTAAATGTGAGACCAAACTGCCCTACCAGTTGAGCTGCTACACCTTTTTCTCTGCTGCATTTCAGGATGAAAGACAGACGTTGATGATTAAAAAAAGTCAGCAGGCTAGAACAGCTTCCTATAATAAACGCCCTGGTGATAATTAATTACACAGGCACTGCAGCCAAATCAAGACGGCAAGCATCCATTTTGAATCTCCTCGTAAATAATAAAACAACACAACAGATTTGTTCGTCTTTCAGCCCTTTGAGAAGCAAGGCTGGACTGATCAGGGACAATACTCAGAAATGTGTGGGTGGTTATTAGGAGCTAGGCCTTCTTACAAAAGCCCCAATTGTATTAAATGCCCATGATAAAGGACAACATAACAATACTGACTGTTTAAGGAATAAACAATGTTCGACAATAACAATGTGGAGAGATTGTTCACAGAGAGAGTTCAGAGAAAAGACACACAGCATGACAACAGGGAAGTGCTACACCTACACAAAAGTAGGCCACACAGCTCTTTTTCGTTCATTATATAAATATCTTTAATTGTTTAAACCGTAAGAATATAAAACAATTTAATTTTGGGATTCTGCAGTTTTTCTTCTTCTTTACAAACACATAATATACAGTACATCTTTTTTATTTTCAAACACACACAGCTTTTTCAGCAGGACGCACATCCGTATATTAATTTTAGCAGGTCATTGCATTACATTAAAACGTGCACACACACACAGGCCTCGGTGTGTGCAAGTGTGTGTGTGTGTGTTTGGTGTGTGTGAAAGAGAGAGATGGGGAGAGAAAGAGATGCATTCCGCCTGTAACCCGACACGGAGAGAGGGAAAGAAAAATAATCGATGGCTCCTTATTCTGAGCATGTCTCAAAATGGATTCAGGGTATTTTTATTCGGGGAGAGATGGAGAAAAAGAGGAGGAAAAATATATCTTCTTTTTTCCTCACTCCCTCTCTCTCACCGGTGAGAGCAACATGAATATGAATGCGACCTGTGTTGGCATTAACGTGGGAAAATAAAGCCATGAGACAAACCCTGATTTATTTTTGATCAATAAAAGGGTAGAAGATATAGAAATCACTTCAATTTGAAGTACGACGCTCTGAACATCCACTGACATTTATTCCCACCAGCACCCCTTAGAAAAAAAACCATTCCTGCTTATGGTTTAACGTTGGGTTTAATACCAGCCTGATTATATATTTGATTTAGCATTGTAGCACTTTGATATTCCTATGTGAATGTAGGTATTTCTTCTAAGGGTATGCTGATAATCTTGCCTCCTTTATACTGTACGTCAAAGCTTGAACATATCACGTCTCTTAAGGACATAAAAGTTGGACTTTATCCCAAAATAATGAGGAAAACAAACCATATAAAAGCTCTTGCACACAAGCGGGGCTGTTTTTTTTTTGCATAAAGCGTCGTCATTAAAATCTGAAAAGATTTTACAGCTCGTTTTCCCCTTTCTCTTTTTCTCTGGGAAATAGTTGCTGTTTACGGGGCTAAATTAACAAAGGTAGTTCGATTGTGTCCTTTCTCAAGCTCTGCTCACAGAGGAGGGAGAGGGGGAGGGATGGGGGAGGGGGCAGACACAGTCCCTTTAGGCACATTTTCTCCCAGTCTCTCATTCTCGCTTTCCTTCTGTTTTTTTTTTTAAGGGTATACACCCCTTTGAAAACAACCACATACGAGGTAGCCAAATGTTTTTTAGGCGTGATGGCTGTAGCGGAGATTAGTCATAAGTGTATTCGATCCAGACTCACTTTAACACAACACAAATAAAGTTTTTAAACCTCACTTTGCTTTAAATCAAAACGTGGATGCAACTTTGGATGGATGCAAATGTAACTTTAAGAATTGTTCTTGAAGCAAGTTTCAGTAAATGAATGTGAAACAAGCTTTGCATTGCAAGTTATTCCAGTATGTCAGACTTTCTGAGATATTAAAACTGAATTATACAAGATCAAAATATTTGCTAAGAGGGATTTTCATGAGCTCATAGCAAAGGTAAGTTTAAATTGCTTCCTACCAGGCAGGATATTAGGTAATATCAAACACAAATTGAAATCTTGCAAGGCCAACAGAGGAAAAATAAAACATTTTGAACATAATTGTTGTCACATGGGAGAAGCACACCTTACACAAGGCTTACAGGAGGCTTTCTCTCTTTTTAAACAAGAAAATAAATTTACCCGCCCAACTATTCCCCCTCTTTCTGCTCCTCAGGCCCCCCTCGGTCCCCATCCAAAACCAGAAGAACAAAAAGGGCAAAACATTTCCAATCACCTCACTTTCTCACTCTCTGTCATCTGCCAGAGTCCCAGGTTCAACACTTTAAGGCAGGGGAGCTGTGTGATCCTCTCCAGCCCCCTCTTGGTGATCTTGGTACATCCATACAGGTCGATGCCCGCCAGCTGGGTCAGGTGGTCCGCTATGAGCTCCAGCCCTTTGTCCGTGATGCGCACACACTGTCCAATGTTCAGGGTCCTCAGCTCGTGCATCTGCCTCACCATACGGTTTATCCCGTCGTCAGAGATGTGACACGAGCACAGGGACAGGGACTTGAGCTGGTATAGCCCCTGGGCGATGTATGCTAGGGACTGGTCCCCTATCTTATCGCAGAAGGAGACGTCAAGCCCGGAGAGCCTCAGGGTGCCCATGGCGAGGTGCATGGTCCCCGTGTCACTGATGTTGTCACAGGATCGTAGGTTGAGGCTCCACAGCGAGCCCATGTGGGAGAGGTGGATCATCCCAGCGTCTGAGATCCCCCCGCAGAAGCTCAGGTTCAGAACCCGGAGCTTGGTCAGCCCCTTGGAAATGTGTTTGAGTGACAGGTCCGTCAGTTTCTGACAGTCCTGCAGAGTCAGGTACTCCAGGTTCAAACAGCCCTCCGCCGCGCTGCGGGTCATACCGGCCAGGTGTCCAATCCCCACATCCGAGACATGCCTGCAGGACCTCAGATTGAGGCTCTTGAGCCGGTGGAGGCCCCAGGCTATCAACAGAAGCCCAGTGTTGGTGATGTTGCTGCAGCCACCAAGCTCCAGCACCTCCAGGTTCTTCAGATACTGAGCTATCCTGCCCAGACTGGAGTCTGTGATCTGCTTGCACAGACTCAGGTTCAAAACCCTCAGAGATGGGATCTCCTGCACAAACGCATGACCCAGCCCGTTATCTGTGAGGTTGTAGCAACCGGACAGATTGAGGGACTCGATGTTAGGCATTCCCTGGATCACATAACTCAAGCTGCGGCGCAGGGACAGGATCTGGACCCTCCGGATGCCCCTGGCCTGGAGGCTGGGGAACAGAGAGGGATTGGCCCGGCGGAGGTGCAGCTTGGCCTCCACCCCCCTCCACACTGACTTGTGGTAGGAAGCGTCCTTCCAAGCGATACACACTTGTGCTACCCTGCCTTTGTCCCTCACGTCCAGATAGCTAAAAATCATGGCCAAAATTTCCGGGAAGAGGCACGAAATGTGCGTCTCCATTGTTTTTCAAACCCCAGGCATATAAGAATTAATACTCCACACCTCCAAGGCTGAGCAAATACCCTTCTCCCCTTCTCTTGCAATTATGCAAAAGTATCAACAGTCCCAGTTATCCACAGAAGTCAAAAGAAATAGGAGTTGTTTGTTTCTCTCTTTTCTCACATTGAACTGTGCAACATCGATCCAACTCTCTCCAAACCCACGTGATCCGGTCTCGTTGCGCAGTAGGATTCAACTGCATTTAAAAATGAGGAAAAACAAAAAAAGCGTTTATTCCTGCCTCAACTCCTCTCTCCGCCAAAAAGAGGAGGAGAGGGGGCTATAGGAAGGAGGAGGAGAGGAGGAAAACGTCAATCCTTCCCCCTCTCTCTCCCTCTCTCAGACGACGCTTCCTTGTATTAAACCTACTGAAAGCCTTCCTCTCTCGGCCGAGCGGGGATCCAGACGGTCGTGCATTTCAGAATAAGAAAGTACAAATAAAACCATCACTCTGTACGCCGCCTGTTCAAAAACATGTCCATGATAGAAAAGCAAGAAAGATAGAGCTAGGTTGGCTTTGTAGGCAAAGTGAGAGAGAGAGAGGGGCGTCCTGGGCTCAAGCCTTTGTCTGCTCTTTTCAAACCGACTTGGCAGGGACCACGGCACTCTAGCTGTACGGCAGGGGTGGAGGCAAGTAGTAGTACTATTTTTAGCGATTAAACAGAGATTAAATAACAAAAAATGCTACAAGTAGTGTCCTCAACGTATTGTAATGCTTGGACATATGTATGGTGATATTTAATATGCGATGCAGCGCGACATTAATTCGTATTCTTATCGCACCCCCCTACCCCCTCCGTGTCAGTCAGTTGGTTTGTTCCGCCTCAGCTGGAACGGTGCGAACAGTTTCCCTTGGAAACCAACTTCTTACAATTCAGTTCACTCTGGGCTTTAACCCTTTGAGCGGACCACACAGGAAACACAGAAGCCGAGCGGAGAAGTCATTTTCACCCCGCTCACTTGGCATAAATATAAAGTAATTTTTATTTGCGTTTTTTTTGCTGGTGTTGTTGTGTGGATATAGCAAAGCGTCTCCACAACGGCCACATAACAGAATACTGTGTTCTTTGTCTCTTTTAAACAGCTTCTGTACTGTTAGGCTACTTTGTTGCAAAAGAAAAACATATACATATTGGCATTTTATCAGTCAAATGAGAGGAATAACTGCCCAATTTCAAACATGCAATATAACAAAATTCAGCTCATAAAATAATATAGCAAGAACATACAACAAATAAGTAAAAGTCTACTTTAATTCATTTCAACAAACTGTATTGCTTTCTAAAGTCTTTGTGGAAGTGTGTGTGATATTGAGAAGTATGAAAACACACACACGCACACACTGAATATAAATAAACTTTACTCGGCTTTGTGTTACAGTTCTCCGGCACAGTATCTGAGATCTGTAAAAAAAACACACATGCCCTTGACGGTGTTAAATGTGTCGTTACTGCAGCTGCCAGTGAATGCATTGTGTGCACATATAAAATATATAATGATATATAAGGCTGGGGTGTCCTTAAATGACTGTGGTGGAGAAACAATCCATTAAGTCTTCTCTTCTCTCATGTATCTCTCATAGAGACCCGAAATAATCACTTTGAAGCTGTTGTCTAACATCTGCCATTGCTTAAGTTTGGAAACTAATTTTAGTATCTGGTACGCAAGGTGTATCAATAATAGCCAGCTATATATGGCATATATTTTCTAAATTGCTTATTTAGTGTATCAAAGCATTACAAATATCAAATACAACAGAAGGAACGGAGTATCTTTTTTTTAATACGTGACCAAGTTGTTACCTTCATCCTTCATCCCCTGCGGTGGGCCTCTCTTACCCCCAGTGTATACGCGTGTGTGTGTGTGTGTGTGTGTGTGTGTGTGTGTGTGTGTGTGTGTGTGTGTGTGTGTGTGTGTGTGTGTGTGTGTGTGTGTGTGTGTGTGTGACAGGCAGGAGAACATATGTCTGTGAATATGTGTTTTTTGCATGTAAACAGTATGTAACTGCTTGCATCACTTTGTGTGTGCGCGATGTGTGTGTGTGGGTGTAAGATAATATGACAGGGGAGCCGTTTGCTAGAGCCAGCGGAGTGTGGAAGAGTGGTGGAGAAAGAGTGAAGGAGGAAGAGGAAGAGAGAGGAAGAGATAAAGAGAGGAAGAGCTGAGGAGAAGCACAGAGGGAAGGAGAGAGAGAGGGAGAGCAGCAGTGATCAGGTGAGGATAACAGAGAGGGAGAGGAGCTGCAGAAACAGCCCGTTTTACACGGAAAAGAAGCAGCCGAGCACAACTGACATCAACTCCTCTCATCCTCTCCTCTGTAAGAAGAGAGTTTTTCACCAGTGTACATTTACCCATATTCTGCTGCTGTAATCCTTCTGTTCACACTGCCCTTCAATAGATCCCTTATGTTAACCCATGGAAGTCATGTTTTGTACAAATAAATACATTTAATTGCAGCCATTATAGGGGTCTGCAGTATTTTTTACAAATGTTCCTCTCGCTGAAACTGTCCACCCCGTAAAACACAGCAACCACTGGTCCCTTTTCCTCATTTTATTCGTCTAAACTTCTCACTCTTTAGAATTGTCTTTGCTGTTGCTTCTTTCACTCTGCATCTCTCTCTTTTTCTAACCTCCAACTCATGACTCAAAGACTCAAGGCTCTATTTATCATTTGTACAAGAGCTACAGCTGGCTGTTGGCAATGAAAATCTTAAGCCCATTTTAACAACGTTGAATACAATTGTACATTTTCTAAATAAAAATGTTAATAATAATAATAATAATCAGAAGAGAACACATTTTACAGCAGGGGTGGGGAACCTTTTTCCTCTCAAGGGCCATTTCAATTTTTTCAACATCCTCCGAGGGCCGTACAAATTATTGATCTCTGCTCAAAAAAACTATCACAGCCTATTCATTTGGCTTTTCTTTCATGCTGCGCAAAGAAAAAGCAACCTCTTAATCCAGATATCTCACCATGACTCGCGCATGCATGCACGTGCACGGTTGTGGCATGACAACCAAAACAGAAAGATATGGACACAAGATGTGTGCAAATGTATTTAGTTTCATATGTGAACATGATTTAAGTAGGGGGGGGGGACCTAACCTCCTGTAGGGGGGTCCGGGGGCATGCTCCCCCGGGAAGATTATTTTTTAAATGTTGAAGTTAAAAGCACCAATCTGGTGTACTTTGAGAGCAACATGAAGAGATCTATGGATACATCTCTCAACAACACCCATATGAAACAGAACTGTAAGCAGATTTTTTACTTTTTCTTTATGGATATTTTACAAATCACTCCCCTTTTAAACTGTATTTTTGTTTATTAATAACAACTTTTTTTTACTGTCATATAGTATTTTATACCAGTTTTTCCTTTATTCTCTTATTTTTAACTATAATGATCATATAAAGATGTGCCTTTACCTCACTGGTTGTAGAAAAAGCTTCTTATATTCGTTAGCATAGCTAGCTAACCAGATGCTAATAACAACAAAGTTATTGACTCTATGATCAGTGTGGCAGATGAACAGATCGCCACTGGGCTTTCAACTAAAGACACGGCCACGCAAAAACTGCGGCATGTGTACGGCTCCTTATGGTTACTGCAATTTGTGAAGTGCCGAGCGACGTTCTGGTGCTCTCCATCAGACCTACACCCCAGCGCCATCTACACCCCTGTCAGACGAGACATATACCACGTGATGACACGTTAGGCTCGTGTTGTGTGCCAGGAAAAACAGGCACTCGCTTGTTTAATTATTTTGCGGTCTAGATTTCTTTAATTTTTTTCTTTTTTGCGTGTGTTTATAAATTACCTCGAGGGCCGTAATGGTCTCGGAGGCCGGAGGTTCCCCACCCCTGTTTTACAGCAATTTACTTTAATTATTATTCTTGATATAGCATCATTGCTATTTCAATTAATCAGAAAAGTAACTCCTAAAGGGTTGGATTAGGGATAGTTGTTGAATAACAATTGCAAAGCACCACAATTGTCTGGTGACTATCCTTCATGTCCCTCTCTGCTTTCAATGTATATCCTGTAAATTCATCAAGGGCAAAATTAAAGCCTTTAACTGCACTGTCCCCTGTGGCCCGGCTACACCTCCGTCCTTGGTGCTCTGGCGCACGGTGTGTCATGGATTTTCAAAATAGAGATCCTGACATGAATACCAAGCTTCATAATGATCGCGAAACACCTTGAGTTATAAACAGAGTGGGAGATTAACAGCCGCCCTCAGCTAAATGTTGCTGAATTGTGAGCGTGGCTCGTCAGTTTGCTGGACACACCCTGTGGGAATAAACTGAAAAAACAGCCGCACATGAATCCAATTAGGACTGTAGTGTGTTCTATGGTTTTAGTGCATGTAAATGGTCTGCAAAGGCTAAAATCCCTGTGTTCCCTCTAGTTTCTCTCCTACTCCCCCCCCCCTGCCTGAAATGCCTCCATTGGACTCCTCTGTTTACTTCCGTAACATAGTGACATCACGTTGTAACACTCGCGCTTCTATTGGCTAGCGCTCCAACACATTGTACGCACGAAAATATATCACATTGGGCCCCACCACCACAGGCCACTTTGTTTCTAAATTACCTCGAGGGCCGTACCAAATGGTCTAGCGGTCCGTATACGGCCCGGGGCCCGGAGGTTCCCCACCCCTGCTTTAATATAATAACATTAGTATTAATATCATAACCAAAATGTCGGTGATTAACATTTTGTTAAACTAATACAGACTGATCACTCAATGCTTCAAACTGTCCATCATCCTAAATAGACTTAAAGCAGTTTTTTGTTTTATATAGATCATTGGCTATGTGGGAAAATACTTTGTTTGAAATGTATAATTTAAATGAGATGTTAGCTATTTGTTATATATATATATATATTTTGTATTCCAGTCTCCCTTCAGATATGTTAAGTGGCATGTCATTCAACGCAATGCTGCTCACCTCCTTCAGTTGGGAGAAAAGCTGGTTCAGGTTCAGCCTTATGGGGGGACAGGGCTGCTGACCCTAAAGATGGATCTGTAGGACCTGACACCAGGGGGAGGGGCAACTGATTTAGTATGAATAGGCGCTAAAAATGTGCCTGCATTTATTAAAGGTAGGTAGGTAAGAATGGAGAAACCAGCTCGAGTGCGCTAGAATTTGAAAATACACAACCGAAAAAAATCTGCCCCTTCCTTCAGAGTTCCTTACAGAGCCCCTCCTCCAACGCACACGAACGCGCACATGACCAATGAGGGCACGAGAAAAGTTTGTGCACAGATGGAAGGCTGACAGGCAGGTAGGCCATCCAGTCATTTTAGCTGGGCCGGCTCAGATGATTGGTCGTGCTTTTTACAGCGCCACGGCTTCCACAGATTACATTTTTGTATGTACTTATTGTCAAAGCATTTCATATATATTCATTGCTATCGGGATGTTAAGAGTATTCCATGGAATATAACAAAAAGTGTTTCTGAAGTGAATTACCTACCATACCTTTAAATGTCAGCTAAAAGTGCAGAGAAATTAAAGACCTCTGAATTTTCTGTAAAGATATCAACAGTACTTAA